ACACATAATGACTTATCTTGGGAATGGGACCCATGTCTAAACATGAAAGTCATTTGTGTTTCATATACAGCTTATATACATAGCTTAAAGGTAATTTTATACAGTATTTTTAATAATTTTGTGTATGAAATAAAGTTTTGATTGCAACACATCACACGAGGTCGGGGTGTGGAATTTTCCACTTGTGGTGTCATGCTGGCACTCGAAATGTTTAGGATTTTACATTTTTGGATTAGAGATGCTCAACCTGTATAAGCCAATTACCAAGGTGGCGTATTTGTATAGTATATTCTTTCATATTTTCATAAGAAAAATGGATAGATTCACCCACTAGTCATCACTTCATAATGCTCACAAGTAAAAGTATGTTATTACAACATCAGCATGATATCTGAAATCTCAAATCTGAAGTGTTTATCTTCCTAATTTCATTTGTGTCACAACAGTAATTCTCATTAGAGGAGGAAACTCATTTAAATAAGATTTTAAGACTTTTCCCCATCCCTTATACAGCAGTGTGGTGAATCTTGAAAAATGGCTTTTGTTCCATTAAAAATTCTACTTTGAGAACCACTAGCAATTCTACCAAGCTTATCTCATATCAATCTAATTATAAGTAATAAAGCTAAATCCAGAAATTATTAAAGTAGAATAATTTGAAAGATATAGAAGCTAAACTGATACTTTTTATTTAAAGCTTGCATGTCTAACAACATGCCTGGAAATGCCACTTTCCTGGCAGTCCGATGTTACTACACCATGTCATGGGAAGCACTATCGTTCGAAACACAGTTCAGACGACCTCAACAGTTGGCCTTCCCATAATAAGAGAATACATATTAAAAGAAATAAATTACCAAAGAAGTGACTTGCTACTGACAGCATATTCTGTCTCTTTAAAAATTCTTTACCATACATGCAGTGTTCTTAACATATTTAAGAGAAAGAATGGGAAAAACCATTAAAAATTTACTGTTACAATTTTTGTAGAGGTGCATCTCTAACCGTAACTGTATAGATATTCAATTTACAAATTGTTTTCATATGCCTCATTCACCAACATTTCTTTATTCTAGTTCCTATTTTAAGACTAGAATATACCATACAATAGTTAGAAAAATGAAAAGGAAACAAATGTAATGTACATTCTGTTAGATCCTTTTATACTAAAAAACCCCAAAAACCACACACAGTAATATTTTACATATATGAGTGCACATTTTGCTATTTCGTCATCAAGCTTTACTATACTGTAGCTCCGGTAGTCAACAAAAAAGAAATCACAAAAGACAGGTAAGAATTCTAATAAGAATAATATTGTTTTGACAAAATAACAAAAAAGTAGACAGTGAGCTAATTAATCACATGGCATAAAGATCAAATCTACCATTTTTAACAAGAAAAATAAAACTTCAGTTCAACAATGTGTTCATTTTACCTTTATCTGATTTTTTAACTCTTAACCTAACTTGTACAAGAACAAGTAATTATAAAAACAAAGATTGTAAATATCTTACCGTATACTCCTTTGTCTAAAAGTAGTAAAAACTCATCCACAGCATTACGCATCTCATATTCAGTAAGATCCAACAGTGAAACAACTTTAAAATCCAGCTGTCTTAATAAGTTGGTCAATTCGTAAACATCCACCAAAGGAGCTTTAAGTTTGGGGTGCTCCCAGTAATTCATATTTCCTATCAAAAGAGCAACCTTGTCCTTTGCTGTTTAAAAAACAAAAAGGGAAGGGCATTTAAAGGAGGGTATAAAGATTAAAACAAAACCTATGGAAATGGGATCATTATATTAATAATAAAAAGTATACTTTAAGATTGCATTATTTCATTTAAGATTTCATTATTTAATTTCATTTTAGAACTATTACTTCATGTAGCAGACCATTATACTCTGATGAACACAAGAGGCTAAAAAACTCAAACAACTGAAATTAAACTTACTGATGCTTTTGAGAACTAGGCAAAGGATGTTTGTTATTTGAAGCATAATGGTAATTAATATTAAAGTATACTTTTGTGGAGTTACAACAAAAGTAAATAATATAATATTCAACTAGACTTTTAGAGCAAATTTAAACAAGGAATATTTGAAATTGGGTTCCTGTCAAATTACGTTCTGTTTTGCTGAGAATGGAAGAGGCTAAAAACAATAGAAACACCTAAAAGAGAGATAGGAAGAATTCACATCAGAGCAAGTAAGGGGAAATACCAGAGGCGACAGAAAACAGAACTTCACAAGTACTGTATTCTTCCTTCAGTAGCCATGTGAACGTACTGTCTCATAGCTTCTTTAAAAAGTATTTCCCGTTTGACTGAGATGAGGCTACTTCAGGAAAATGTGAATACTTTTTGTATGAATGTCTTAACAGTTCATTTTCTGAACTTAGTGCACTGAGATTTTGCTAAAGATAGTATGTTCTGATAGAAATAGTTTTCTTGTTTGTAAGGGGTAAAAAGATCTATATCTATACCTTAAAAAGTACCAACGAGCTTAATCAGGTGTGTAGCCTGTCCAGCAGTTGTGGAAGGGTAGACATAGCTTAGTGCTTAAGAGGTCTTCAAAATTCTGGTTTTTTGATAGTCTCGGGTGGGGTCAAAGGTTAAAAACGCAAGACCATTTCATGACAATAAGAAGCTAAGGTAACTTTTTTCTTGAGGACAGTGAAGTGTGTGCAGCAAAAGTCACAGCCGACACCAGTGTATACACACCAGGGAGGGGAAGAGATGGTGTGACAAGAGCACCTGGTAGCACCAACCAACTGCCCAAGAGCCAGGTGGGTAGGATGAAGGCCACCTCCTCTGACGCAGGCCAGGACTTGCTGACCAACCCCCATCACTAAGTACTGCTAAGCAGTTTAGTTGTAAGCTATTATGAATACTACCCTTATGAAGTTGAAACAGGCATGAATAATCATATTCCTGACTTAATGTCTATAATATATAATTCTGATGTTTTAAATCAGTAAGATTAAATTTCACCAAAAATCTCTTTGGTGAAATTTCTTCTGTTTCCATTGAACACTTAAGTCTATTGTTAAAAACTGGCTCCAACTTAAAGAATGTGACTCTCTCAAAGAGCAGAAAACCCCACTTTGTGAAAAGCCTCAATAATTTTGTCACAGTATCTTCATTCTGTTTACATTTTGAGAGATTTCTATCAAGTTGCCTATTCTTATAAATATACACATTTTAGATAAAAATGAAATGACACTTATGTCATTTTAGTTCAATGAAAAAGCTGAGAATACTCAGGATGGATTTCAATAGGAGGCAATAACACTTAGAATCTCTTGTTTTTTTTTTTTTTTTTTAAGTTTCTTCTTAAATAAACTAGTACTCTTATACCAAAGTAAGACTGTTGGCTAGTTAATCTACATAAAGAAAATTTTCAGTGTGCTTTTCTGTGAGTTCATCAACCCTATCAGAATTCAGACCCAATCCCAGTAGAATGACAGATTCAGTTCCATCTTCTCCTAAGTGAGGGAAAATAAGAGAATGTGCTGTCTGTGGTTTACACTGTTATAACCCAGTCATGGATTTAGACCATGAGGTCACCCAAGCTACTAAGGTAGTAAAGTGCTTATAAATCATTGTGGGCTTTTTTGTGGAATGTTGTAATTTAATTATATACATCTTAGACTGAGTTTTATTGGCAGAAAACAATTATAAATATGTAATAGAAAAAAATCACTGGGTTCTTTAGGGAAAAAAATTAGCTGTCAAATTAAGCATCATGGAATGTTTCTGCTGGTACCAATTCTTCATTCACTGGTTTTGTGATCCATTTGTGAAAGAACGCTTGGTACTGTTTACGAAATGCAAGGGTTGAACAATTTGAGAACTACATGTCTTAAAATGTATACATCAATAATTGTCTATAACTCTTCTAAAAATTTTTTCCAATGATAATTTTTAACTGCTAGTTCCTAAGATGTCTTAGAGTATATTTTCTTGAACTTAACGGTGATAAAGATGATGGTAAGTAAATCTTACCTTGTCCGATTTACTTGTAAAAGTTTCTGGATGACAGAACGGGGGTGGATTTAAAACAGAGAAGCTGACGGCTGTGGTCCAAAGAAGAGAGGACAAAGACCCATTCCGGAAATTAGTTGTAGAAAGAGAAAAGAAAAATCAGACTTCAGAGATATGACAGAGAAAGGAAAAAATAAATCTGAATGTGAGGAGATAAGAGAGAGGAACAAAGAAACTTCAAGGCAGCAAATATGTAAGCAATTGATGATGGTTTTCAAGTGATAAAATAAATGGAAGAAATTTCCTGTAGAAAAACATTTACTGTAAAAGCCACCCACAACTTCTTGAGCACAAGCCATTTATTGGAAAATGGAAACAAAAATGCCAGTTGATTAAGCAAAAGAATAATGAAACCACTAAAGAAAGATATTTTAACTATAAGATCTTAGACATCTTCCAAAGCTTAATGCAATATATTCTTTAAAAATTGGTACAGCGTTATATCATTAATTTCATGTCCAATACTTCTAATTATTATGTTACTTATCCAAAATGAGTTAATATTCAGAACCACCTAGAAAAGGGCCTGGTACATATTAAATGCTATTAAGTATCTGTTAAATAAACTTTGCAGATGTCTATCAAAAATTTAGTTTTGGCATCAAATTTGACTGGTTGATATATCATTCTTGTTATTCTTATGCACTAAATCTTTTAATGACTCTCCATGTCCTACAAAATAAAGTCCAAGTTCCCTAGTTTGGCATACAGGGCCATTCACATTCTAGTCCACACCTACCTATCCAGCTGTGGTAACAGATGGCCCGCAGTGAACCACAGTATCCTTGCCCTTGTGTAGTGTAGTCAGCCCAGTCCCGAATCTGGGCTGCATGGGACTTTGAGCATGATATGGTGTGATATTCTGCCAGTTCTGGGTTTAAGCCTTAAGAAGCCCTGATAGCTTCTACTTTGGGGATCTAGTCATTATGTAAAGAAAGCAGCTGTATGGAGAGACAACTCAGGGAGGGAAGAGAAACTGAGGGAAGGAAAGGGAGAGGAAGAAGGTAGGAAAGAGAGAGAGAGAGAGAGAGAGATTTTCAATCTTTCACCAATCCCCATTAAGGTGCCAGGTATGTGAATGAAGCCAAGCCACCTTGGATGCTGGAATCCCAGCCACCATCTGACTGCAACCACATGAGAGACCCCAAGAAAGACCAGCAGCAGCAGAACCATCTGCTAAACCCACTCCAACCTACAGAACCGTGAGAGATAACGAAACTAATTTTTTTCTTTTTTCTCAGAGACAGGGTCTTGCTCTGATGCCCAGGCTGGAATACAGTGGCCTGATCCTGGCTCACTGTAACCTCGAATTCCAGGGCTCAAGCGATCCTCCTGCATCAGCCTCCCGAGTAGCTGAGACTATAGGTATGCACCACCATGCGCGGCTAATTTTTAAAACTTCTTTGTAGAGATGGGGTCTTGAATTCCTGGCCTCAAGTGATTTTCTCACTTGGGCTTCCCAAACTACTGGGATTACAGGCATGAGCCACCAGGTGTGAGCCACCACACCTGGCCAGATATTGTTTTTATACTAGTAAATTTTGGAATAATGTTATTCAGCAATAGAACAATCACTAATTATTCCAATCCCCAGTACCCTTTCCCTAGTACTCTATCTTCCAGCAATGCTGAACTGCTTGCTCCTGACCCACACCAACTATTTCATGCCTCCATCCTCGCCATGTCTTAGCTCTTCTTTCCCCCTCTCATTTGTGAATGAAATCTGATCCTTTCTGTCTCAAACACACCTTCTCATTTTATGCACTTTGGGATCTCCCTATCCCTGAAAATCCTCACCTGGGCTTCATCTCTTAGGTAAAGCCTTCCCTGACTGTCCTAGACTAATCTGATCACCATCTTCTATGAACAATTTCTAGATTTTTACATATTTCTATTATGGCATGTACCATGTACTATATTATTCATTTACCAACTGTCTCCCCTTATTAAGACTGCGAGGCCTGAGTTCAGGAACCAAGGCTTATTCTCTTATTTCTTAAAGGGTAACACAGATGAGACATTAAATAAATGTTTGGTGAATTTCAATGATAGAAACTGACTTGATATTCAGTTTGCTATTCTTTCAATTAGGAGGTGTTTGAGAAAGGACACCTGGCATAATGGAGCTAACAGGCACTATGGAGAGAGAGACACCTGGTTCACCTACCGAACAATCCTGGTTCACCTACTAAATTGTGTTATTCTGAGCAAGTTTTATTAAACAGTTTTAATATCCATCTACCAAAAATCAGAAAACATACCTACATCTCAGGGTTAAATTATACATTATACCAAGTGAAAACACTTAGTTTATTAGTATTACTATGAAATGCATACTTGTGATTAAACCATCTTCAGCAACTAACCCAGTTACATTTGGATCTTGTCATTTTGTGTACTTACAGACATACACATGCTTCTTACTAGAGAACAGGATGGCTATGCCTTTGTTTGGAACACTATTTTAACAGGTCTTTCTTAACCAATGAGGTTTGGGAATCTAGAGGAAAGATAACGGAGCTGAAATACACAAAAACTTACCACTACGAGTGACACACAGCAGGTTCTTTTTTAAAGGTGGTAATTCACAGTCCCTTGTCCTCTTCAACATCAAGGGCAATCACTTTCACTGTTGCCCAACTCCCTGATGGTAGCCTTGACTTTGCCATCACCTAAGCTGCTCCACCTCTGAAAATCTAAAACCATGGATTTCCTCTCTGTAACCATAAAAACCCTCCTATTCTTGTAAGAGTTTTGCCCCTATTACACTTGTTCTTCCAACTCAGTAAACTTTTTTAAAAATAGAGATGGGGTCTCCTCCTGTCGCTCAGGCTGGTGTGTAGTGGTGTGATCATAGGTCACTGTGGCCTCCCGAGTAGCTGGAACTACAGGCACACACCACCATGCCCAGCTAAATTTTTTTTATTTTTATTTTTTATAGCAACAGGGTCTGGCTATATTGCCCAGGCTGGTCTCAAACTCCTGACCTCAAGCGATCCTCCCGCCTCAGCCTTCCAAGGCATTGGGATTACAGACGTGAGCGTTGTGTGCCTAGCTAACTCAGTAAACTTTTTAAATCTCTTGACTCCTCCATTTTCTCTTAGTTTCATAGCCTTTTCAAGGCTTTCTTTCTCTATGCAGTCTTTAACTCTTGGTTAATTCCTCCAAATCCCTGCTCTCTTGCTCCCTTCTGGATGTGCCCTATAAAACTCTGACTACCATAGTGCCTGGCACACAGTAGATACCTGACAAATATTTCTTAAAAGAACAGAAGAACCAGTTCATTAGTCTGCCTTCTCTATCTTAAAGCTGTGCTCAGCTAGAGAAAAATTACACAACTGATCTGTACCATTATAAAGTCTTAATTTTTAAGTCTTAGTCTTAATATTCTTTCACTTGTAGATGGTCAGAAATAGCTTCCATTTTCTTTAGCATCTAAGCCTCTGCCACTGCCTAAGTTCTCTATTCAGCCTTAGTCTACTCTGTTTTCCTCAATCCTTTAAGCATCTTACTATGCCAAATTACCTAGAAAGAAAAACCACCAACTAAAAGTGTACTCAATTTCCCAGCAAATCTGTATCTTCACCAATCTCTCCTTCCTTCTAATCTCAAAAGAAGAGGTTTCAACATTCTGTTACAGTTAGTGTCTCTTGTTTTTACCTTGGCCCAAATCTCTAACGTCTCTTCTAGGAACTTGCTCCACAACTTGTCCATTCTTTAACAGATCACTCTAACTTATGTAGTCGCAACAGATCTTCCTCTTCAAATGTAAATATGCTCATTATTTCCCCACCTCTCTAAAAACTCTGAATATATGCCCCATCCCCATCTAGTTCTCCTCAAATCACTATTTTTTTTTTTTTTTTTTTTTTGAGACAGAGTCTCGCTTTGTTGCCCGGACTAGAGTGAGTGCCGTGGCATCAGCCTAGCTCACAGCAACCTCAAACTCCTGGGCTCAAGCGATCCTTCTGCCTCAGCCTCCCGAGTAGCTGGGACTACAGGCATGCGCCACCATGCCCGGCTAATTTTTTCTATATATATATGTATTTTTAGTTGTCCAGATCATTTCTTTCTATTTTTTTAGTAGAGATGGGGTCTCGCTCTTGCTCAGGCTGGTCTTGAACTCCTGACCTTGAGTGATCCACTCGCCTCGGCCTCCCAGAGTGCTAAGATTACAGGCATGAGCCACCGTGCCCGGCCCCAAATCACTGTTTTTTTAATAAATTAATTTATACTCTGTCTTCAGATGTTCACTTCTGAATCATTCTTTATCCATTTTATCCATATTTTAATCCCTTGCTTAACTCAGTAACTGACACATTAAGCACTTTCAACATTTCACTGAAAGTCATCAATTATTTCTTCAGTAGCTGAATCCAGTGGACAAATTTTAGACCTTAGTTTACCTGCCAGGATCAAGACGTTGACTACTTTTATCACCTCTAAATATTAATTTGCTAACCTTTTATGGTATCAATCTCCTGGCTATTTTCTTAGTTTTCTCCCTTATATTTTGTTCTCCCAGGCACTGTTTAAGTACCACTATTCATTTACATTTTATCCTAAATTCTCTTTCCTTCCCACCGGAGAAGATGGAGAAGCAAACTCTAAAGCTTACTACATCCCCCTGTGATGATTTCCTAATCTCCATCCCCCACCACAACATAGTACTAATCACGTCTTCCTCTATGTTAACTATGTTAACATTTATGTGACATGTACATGTTTCTTTTGGTTTACGTTTGCTTGCATAGTTCTAGAAACTTACAAATCATTCCACAGAAGTTGACCTGACCCCAGAAACTGATTTTGTAATCTTTCTTAAGCCTCCTCTTTTGTACTTCTTTTTACAAATAAAAAACATTGAACATTTGGTCCCAACATTATTCAAATATTTTTAAGAACAATCAAATTAAAATGGCTTAAATTCCTTCTAGAGATAAATGCTATAATCACATTTTAATCATGCACTTAAAGCTCTACTCACCCAAAGGCTGGTCAGTCGTTTGCTCTTTATTATCTGTACAAAGATAAAAAAGCAAAACATATAAGATGTTGTTGTCCATGATATGAATATTTTCAGAGTTAAAGATATCTGAAAAGTAATGAATAACATCAGTGGCATCATTAAGATAACAGCAAATAGTTTCTAATAGCTAATGTACAATTTTAAGATCTTCAGATTTTTGGTAAAGACATTCATGAAGGGACAGATTTGGAATCAAGGCCGTGGAACTCCCTTGGTAATTGACTGCCACAGTTGGGGTAATAATCCTTAGCAGGTTGGTGAAAATTACAATCTGAAAACGATGGTGGTATTCATAACAAGTAGCAGCAGCAATAGTTGTTAACATTTACTGATGCCTTGGATGGCACTGTTCTACATGCTTTATGTAAGAGATCTAACGAAACCTCGCTCAACCCTATGAGGTATGTACTATTATTAACCCCATTATACAGATAAGGACATGGAGGCAGTGAGAGATTAAGTCACTTGCCCAAAGCTATCAAGCTAGTAAGTAGCAAATCTGGATTCTTATTTAGGAAGCCTCATTCCAGATTCTATGTTTTCACCATCTATTACACATAAAATGAAGTCCTGCTCCCACCTTGAGCACCCCCAGGAAGAGATACAGGGAAAGGTGTAGTTCAATCAGGCATGTACCTACTACTATTGAAAGGGTAACTTGCACTTTTAGTAAAATAAATGCCACTGGAGCCTATTAAAAGCTTTTCCCACACGTCACTCTTTCTTTAAACTCAAGTTTTTGGTACTCTCTGAACTGTGGGGAATACGGAGATAATCAAAGAGGAGGCTAGGAAAATTTTAGAATTTTAGTGGTGGTTTTTCACTAAAGTTTTTCTGAAATAACTTTTTATAATGTTCATTAAAAAAGGGCAAGAAATGAAAGGCAAATTTAGGAAAAGGGGATTCTATCCAGACCAAGAGAAATAATTACTAGGATGGTTTTTGAGACTTTCTAGTTTTGGATGTTTGAAGCAGGTCTTACTGCGAATACTACAGCAAGGAGAATGACACACAGGTAACAGTGGCTTTCTGCTGTGTCTAATTAGCTCGTATGCAATCAGCACAGCCAAAGAGCATTCGCAGTAATAGATGTTTATTAATGAAATATGAGGATGACACTAAGCAAACTAGTTATGGTGCTAAAATAATGAGAAATAACATGTAGAGCAAGAACAGGACTTTCTACAAATATTACATGACATCATTGCCTTCTTAATCTGCTCCTGTAAGGTTTTATTTTCGGGTATACTCACAAGTTCCACCACTGTCTTTCAGAATCCCCGTAACCTATACTGACGTCCTGTCTTCATGTCGTCCTCATTATTGATATGCCTTTTACCTCAGTGGAGGCTTTCTCTTTAGCTTAGCTTGTTCAGAAATCTGTTCTGATTATAACTGGTTCACAGAGCTCTGCATAATCCTACCAGCTGTCAGTCTTCAATGGTTGCTACCAACCCACCTGTGCGGTGCCAACTATCCCCACAAATACACTTCTTACTTCAGATAAAGATGCCTGCCCAGTGAGTTCAGATGCAACTCTACAATTGAGCAATGGAAACAAGGTCTCAGAGGTCTGTCCTGTTCAGAACTATTACCCATCACTCTTTCAAACACTCCTCCTGTCTTTCAGATTAAAGATCATGCACTTCCCCCATTAACTTACTTTTTATGATATAAGGAGTAATACACAATGATAAAAAATACCTTGAGGTTTTATGTTGCCTTAAATACTTATTTTTCTACCCTTACAGTTTAATAATCTATAATATTTTTAATCTTTCACTTGCATGAAATTGTACTTCAGGTAAGTAGTTAATTTCAACCTTAAGTTACATTATTGCAATAAAAAAGTTGCTAGTATTATCTAGCAAAAGAGCATTTTTGCTAGAGTATTGCTATGCAGTATTTTTATTATATTCAACAACTTAAAAATATAAAACTAATGTTTTGTTTGTACTACTCACCAGGATGCCCAAGATTATTTAATTCATCTGAAATGGAATAAGAGAAAATAGATTAAGTAATCTAACCTTCAATTTAGCATAAATAGTAAGACTAATCAAAGTAGTAATTTTTGAGCCATTAAATAATGTTATAATGTTTTATCAGTTTAGAACTTTTCAAATCAAATGAAGAAGCCATGCAAATGCTGCATAAGAAAGACTACTGTTGTGCATATCATTTAGGACTTCTAAGCTATTAACGTTTTTCATTAAATGACAAAAAACTAAGCTCATTCATAAGTTGTTCAAAGTTTTAGATATTCTGGCCAATTATGGGACAAAAACAGTCAAGAGACAGGTTTGTCTGTAGCCCCAACTGTAAACTTCTTGAAACTAATTAATGATCTCAAATGATCATTTTAAAAAAAATAAGCCAATATATATAGCATTTTAGCCATCTAATTTTTTTTTTTTTTTTAGAGATGGGGTCTTGCTATGGTGCCCAGGTTGGTCATGAACTCCTATGCAAGTGACCCTCCTGCCTGAGCCTCCTGAATGGCTGGGAATAAAGATGTAAGCTACCACACCCAGCTTATTTTTTTTCCTTCATAAATTTAATGAAGATAAAAAATTAACATTTAACAATAAATTGCAAATGTTATATTATTCCTAAGATGTTACACAGGAACTTTATTCTTATATGAGACATAAAATCAATGAAGGAGGGTATCAACCAGTGCACGAGAGAGTGCAATTTCTCTTGCCTTCAGTCTTTCAGACTAGACTCATTTCCAGTTACTTGGGTCAGCAGCACCTCATTCTTCCATCCCCCTCCTCAGTGAGGCTGTTTCAGACATTTATAATACAGCTAGAGTCTTGTCCCTCTTGGGGTCTGCCTCCTCTGACCTCTGAATGACTGTTTAAAATCTGTATACATGTATTCACCACTAAAGTTAATCATACAGAATAGTTTCACTACCCTAAAAAATATCCACCTATTCAACCCCCACCCCTGATCCTGACACATAATATTTGTGCATATTTATAGGCTACATGTGAAATTTTGACACTTGCATAGAATGTGTAATATTAAATCAGGGTATTCAGGATATCCATCACCTCAAACTTTTATCATTTCTTTATGTTGGGAACGTTTTGACTCTTCTCTTTAGCTGTTTTGAAATATACAATAAATTATTGTCAACTATAGTCACCCTACGGTGCTGTTAAACACTAGAACTTATTCCTTCTATCTAACTGTAGGCTTGTTTGACCTATATCCCGAGAGTAACCACTGACCACCCTTTCTTCATCCTCTCCCCACTTCCCAGCCTTTGGTAATCATCAGTCTACTCTCTAACCTCCATGAGATCAACTTTTTATTAGTAAGAACGTGCCTTATTTCTCTTTCTGTGCCTGGCTTATTTCACTTAACATAATGACCTCCAGTTCCATCCATGTTGCTGCAAATGACATAATTTCATTCTTCTTTATGGCTGAATAGTCTGATCAAGTATCTTGAACAAAATATGTAAAATGAAGTGGAGGACACCATGATCACTCTCTCTCTATATATAAATATGGACACTGCTTATACACAATGTCTCAACTTTGTAGACTTTTACCAAAAAAGATTTGGATCTAATTTTTCCATTTGAAATTTTGAAGCAACTTCATAGCTGGATTTTCATTTCTATGTTCTGAATAGAGTTATTTGAAAATTATTGTTTAATGGTATGTTTGCCACTGCAAAAATTATATAAGAAATCTTTCAGGTATAGAAGCAGCACAGCAAGTGATAATTCACATGCCATCACCCTGAAGAAAAACAGCAGTGCTAGCTTGTATTTATTCTTAGAGGTCTGCAACATTAAGAAGTTTTAAAAACCATGCAATTAGGCAAAAAGAATTAAGAGAGGAAGATTAGGATTTCTTACATGGCTTCCCATAGCTTTAGCAGATCATGGGATTGGAACTCCCTTATGTGAGAAAATTCTTGTTCACAAGTATTAGGATGAAAACAGTAATTATAGTATTTCAAAGTGATACCACAGAGACATGAAGGACAGGAAAACCAGGAAACATAAGATTTAACATTATTTTTTTACTTTACTCAAGTAGAGCTTAAGGTTGTGTAATAAAGAGGCAGAAATTGAAAAAATACTTTGCTGTCCACAAACCTAATTTTGCAAACCAATGTGACATCATGCTAAGAAAAGTGATCTAAGTTTTAAAACTTACTTATTACAATTTAAGTACAATGCTTTGGTTAATTAAAACAAATGAGAAATTTATGCTGAAATAGATTTTTAGTTCTCTTTACATATGGTAAAGGTGACA